CTTAATGATTTGAGAAAGATGTTTTCATGGTAGGAATTGCACTCTAACTGTCCTGTTTTTCAATATGTACAAACAGCTTACCATTTATATCTTTATTTCCACAATGCAGATAATTTCCATTTAAAACAAACAAAACCCCTGTCACTTTCAAGGTAAGGTCTTGTCATTAATGCGAAAACCCCTCTGTTGGTGTGAAGATACTTTGAATGACGCTGGAACAGAATTGTAAGAATGTAAGAACTTTTGCTTTCACTCCCAATCCCCTTGAGTTTTAACAGACATACAATGCCCTCGAAAATCAGCCCAGCTCCAGTAGTTTAGGACTACCTCTTGGGTGATCTAACTTACTAGAGCAAAACCTAATGCTCATATGTTGCTTGAATCATGTACACTGTAATGCAGGAACTACAGGTGAGAGGTTGAAGTTCAGTTCTGTTTTCACTTGGGACCAAATAAAAATTCCAGAGAGCTTTCTTCTTTCCTGTGCTAGGAAGGAGCCAAAAAAGTGTACTGTATGAGCAGCAGGTGAGAGTGTGAAACGTCCTCATTACAGTTGAGATGGACGTAGTCTCCCAGTGGGGATGTATAATAAAATTCTTGTATGTAGGACGCAGTAGGTACACAAAGATTCATCTTTTCTGAAAGTGTCTGCTGAGAAATATATGTGGAAGTAGGAAAAAAGACCAAACACTGTTCTGTCTCGTCTTCCTCTGCTTTGTGCAGCCTTCCTGCACAACTGTGCCTTTGGGAAAGGGGTAATGTTTCCACAGCTCAATCTTTCAGTTACTGGGTCAGCCTGTGGTCCGCTGGGGATGTGGCTTTACGTATTTATCACACCCATCTTTGTCCTGTGGTTCTGATCCCCTTTAGGGAAGGGCTAGCAAAGCCCTCCTAGCTCAGGAGGTTGAAACTGTGTTGTAACTGTTGCTTGGAACATAGAAAGGAAGGGACAAATATCTTCTCTGTACCGATTTCCCATCTGCTCTCCCCTTCTCCCTCCTCTCTCCCCCCCCCCCCCCCCCCTTTTCTTTTTTTCCAGAAGCAGTTGAACTCTGGCCTCATGCCAGTGGGTACCGAACAAAATGAGAACCCTCAAATGTGTTTGCGAATATATTGGTGAAGATTGGCTGATGCTTTGCTCTCTGTGTGATTTATATTGGGAGCTATGAGGTTTGATCTGGTTAGGTGGCTTAGTCTATTTTTATTTTATGCTTTTTTGTCTGTGGGTTTTGTGACCAACTGCTGAACGTTAATTTAAAGGAAATCTTATAACCAGCAATGTAAACTATGTATATTTTTCAAAGTTATAATTGAAATGGAGGATGAATGATTAGAAGTAATATCTGCTACCAGAAAGTTTGTCTTACTAGTTCCTTACGCAGTAAGCTATGGTAGAAGTGTAAGAAGCTGGAAGACTCTTGCGCAGCCTCACTTGATCAACAGTAGTAAGACACAGCATTGAGTGGCTCTAGCTGTGGCCAGCTATTTCCTTCAGTCCTAGCTAGACACAGCAGCAGCTCATATCCTCACTGGTGGAATCGGGAGCAGTGAATGTTTCTCCCTGATTGTCAGTGGTCATAGTAGTATACTGTAAAAATGACTCTTTTTTTTTTTTTTGACCCGCTAATATCCGGTGACTGTGTTTTTCCATGTGTAACTTTCGCAAAAAAGTCGTGTGCTAGAAGTGTTGGGGATAAACACTTCTGGTATTGAGACACTTCGTGGGAATGAGTAAATCTTGCAGTTTTCATTTTATATAGACTACAGAAACCAGACTTGCAGGTGCATTTCCAGACTTCAGAAACAAATCAGCAGGTACGCTACAGTGTCTGCATTCCATTGACTTTCTGCTCTGTCTGTGAAGCACCAAGGGCACCTGTGGCATTGCATGCAAAACAAATGTGGCATAGAAAGCACTTTGTAAATGAAATTACGTGCCTTTTTCAGTTGCTTGTACTGAGGAAGAATTTGGAATAGCTAACTAGGAAAGAAAAAATGTTCCTTGTCTGATTTGTATGCCATCCCAACCCGGGTTCTGGTTGCATATAAACAAGCATTACTACAAGACAAAATGCGTGAAAACTTTTAAAATATATAATGCTGTTCTTTATTGGATCAAAGTACTAGCAGTTTTTTTTAATAGGCATGTTACTTTTGCTATCATTCATACAGAACACTTCAATTAATTTTTAAGTTTTATGCATAGTTCATGGAAGAAATCTGCTTCAAAACTGCCTGCAGTTATCAATACTCATCCATTTTATTTTGGCTGTGGTGACTAACGTTTTTGCTTACTTGACTATACAGCGCTTAAGGAAAGGCCACAGTTCTTAATCAAGATTCTAAGTCTTATGTATATTGAGATAATTCAGTAATTATTAAAATGACTTCCTTCCTGCCTCATCTATTTGTTACTGTAATTCATGCTTAATAATTTGAGAGGTTGAGAGCTGTTGGCAGAAAGTCACTGTTTACATGTATTAATTTACTGGTTTATTATGGTGTTCTGTGAATTGCAGTAGTCAGTTCTGCCCCTTCTATCATGGATTTATAATCAAAATATAAAAATTAATACCTAGTTACAGACATAGATATTCAAGAAATCAGTGAGATGATATAGCATAAACAGTAGTATTAGGATACCAACCAACTGACTGGATAAGCCAACCAGAATTAGAGAGAAGCATTGTGGGAGAGGCTGTTGAAGTAGTAAGCCAAGTCCTTACAAATCATATTATTTTGCATGAAAAGAGGTGGATATTTTTAATGCCTTATTTATTGTTTGAACCTCCAGCTTCTGGTTTTGTTGGCCGTGGGGGGGAGTGTATTGGCTCAAACCTCTTGAACACTTTACAGTCACTCCCCCCAACCCCCCTTTAATTTCAAACTGAAGCATCTTTGTGGACCTCAGCACAGATGAGGTTTTCTTCTGCTCTAGGAGGCAAGGCGCTGCTGGAATTACTGTGTGCTGAATACATGGATCATAAGATATACACAGGCTATGTCCCTTTTAAAACTTAGAGTAGCCTTCTGTGTGATCTGAGTAGCTCATGTGGTGTTTTTCTGTTACTGTTGCTATGCTCAGCTATACCTGCAATAAATAGCAGAATTGAGACGAGCATGAATGCCTTGCCCATATGACTAGAAAAAAATGTTCCATGTAAAATAAAAAAACCCAGCCAACCCCTTGACATCTCCTCTCCTCCTCTCATACCCTAAACTGCAAGCCAACCCTGCCTCAGGTTTGACTTGGAAGTAATTTAGCTCCATCTGGCCACAGAGGTCATATGAATTAGTCTCAGCGTTGGAACAGGTTAAATCCTTGAATCTGGAAACTGCTACTTAAAAGTATTTAAAAAGAAGATCAAATACAAATGCTGCACTGTAGTTGTCATCCTGTGTTGTATCTGGCGTGATGAACCTTTTGAAAATTGCATATTCCACCCAACATCTGTTATTGCGGTAATTATTTTGGAGGCTTTTTTTAAACACTGAGGTGTCAACAGTTAGAAATCCTATGGTCCTGCTTGTGAGTCCAGAACTGTAACACTTCCAGTAGTCGTGTGGCCCTAAAGCATCTATCCTAGAGCAACTCTGGGATAGAAAAAAGAGTTGTGTTAACCGGGTGGTGTGAGGAGGTGACTATTTCAAACTGTTTAGATTAGATTAAATCGAATTTAAAATCCAGATGTTGTAGGTGTACACAAGTTCCCCAATCCTTCTGATTGTGAGGTGCAAACAATTTAAACAGTTTCCTGTGAATTGTTTTTTTCCAGTATGGGGTCTTGCTCAAACTGTGTAGGCTCGGAGTTTCTAACATATATTGCAGAAATGAGATCATCCAAACCATTTAAAAAGACACAGGTTTAATTAGAAATTTTTGCAAAGATAAAAAGGGGACATTTGTAGCTTATCTTGACTAAACTTCTGTCTATTTTCTCATAGTATAAAGCAGTACAGGGCAGTGTTGCTGATGTAGATATGTGATCAGGTGCTGCATTAAAGAATTCGGGGACTTCCTTGGTGTTACTCCTAGCACAAGGTGGTGGACCCAGTTATAATTTGAGTGGAGAAAATCTGCAAAAACCCAAAATATTTCAAAACCTATGGATCCAGATGAAACCAAAAGAGGTAGGAGTAGAACTGACTATTATGGTCTGTGCTTTCCAAATCTCTCTCAAGAAGAGGTGACGGGTTGATGAGATTATTGTAGGGTAGAACATGGAACAGTGTTCACTTAAAAAGGTTTGAACAGTTTTCCTATGCTTGCTCAGACTCTTGGGCTTCTGGAGTATGCCATTAGGTGCTGGGCTGGCCAAGGGGTGCAAAGGTTTCCTAATTTCCACCTTGAAAGATACTATTTTCCAAAGAGTAAAGGGAAGAAAACAGAATCTCTGTTTTAGCAACCATCGCACAGCGAAGGACCTGTTCTGACACTTGCAGTTTTAAATATGAAAGAACATATAAGATAAATGAAAACCACAATTTAAAATAATGAAAGAAGCTATTCAGGAAACTAATAATGAACTCGGGGGTTGGGGGGGGGGGGGGGGGGGGGGAAGTCCAAAATCCATGGTAAGAAATAGTTAAAATAAGAAAAGGAGGTTATGGAACAGTGAGTCATTTTGCGAAGCGCAGCAGTCTGATGTCCAGTTTCCATAAGGTCATGTCATTTTCAAAGGGGTACAACTGCTGTGTAGAAATGATCTGCAGGAAGGCAACGTGGTGACAAAGTTCCATGTACTAGACATTTCCTCGAACTATGAAGCTCGTGTATGTATTTGCATTTGCTTACGATAATGGCAGCTTCAAAATGCTACCTGCCACTGTTAAAATTTCTGTTAGCGTTTCTGTTGTGTTCTCTGAAGCTAGCTAAAGGTTAGAGGGAAGAAACTAATTTATGTCCCATTAATTAGTAGCACAAGAATAATAGCCAACATTTATTTGAGGACTGAACTTTAGGATTATTTGTAAAAGCTGCAGAATTAGTCAAAACTCAGGAGGATATCATAGAATCATTGAGGTTGGAAAAGACCTCTAAGATCATCGAGTCCAACCGTCAACCCAACACCACCATGCCCACTAAACGATGTCCCTAAGCGCCTCATCTACACGTCTTTTCAATACCTCCAGGGATGGTGACTTGACCACTTCCCTGGGCAGCCTGTTCCAATGTTTAACCACTATATCCTCCCAGGCATAATATTCCCCTAGGATTGCCTTAAAATACATGGCTTAGGGTTCGGTGCTCAGACTGTCATGACTTGTTGACATTTGATTGTGGGGCTGTTTTTGGAGGGTGGGCAGGGACATAGTGATGCTTATACTCTAAAGTTTTTTTGTTTAAGTAATGCAAAGTAGAGCGCTCTTATTTCTGTCCACATTTCCAAAACAAGAGTGCAAAACTGCGTTATCAGCATCTGTGTTTTAAAATGAGTCTTTCGTTTTGGTGAAAAAAAGAATAAAAGCAGTTTGGTTACCATAGAGATACATTCCATTGTGCTCAGTTTGTTCCATACCCTGTGGCGTGTGGAGCTTACAACTGGACTGTAGTCTTGCAAAGCAACAGGTTTTGGTTTCCCTTCCTGCTTGCTGTCCTCAGGATGCAGCAGCAATCCAAGTGTTTTGAGATGGAGCTTTCCTTTTTCCCTTTCTCCCCTCGGTCCCCAGTGCTTCTCCATTACGCCCAGGGACTATTACTTCCCCCAAGAAAACTCCCAGCTCAGGTTAAAGAAATAAGGTGAACTGCTACTATGGCGATATGCAAAGACATTAGAGTGCACAAAAGGGACCTAGTGTTGAAATGTGAGCGAGTGCAGTATGGAGGCTTGTTTGGCTCTTACAAATAAGACACAGAAAGGCGAGAGTGATCATAGTACAAGCAAGAGTCATGGCATCATCTTGTGTTTTCTCCCTTTGTCATGCTGTTTAACAACCAGTATTGTGTCAGTGCCTTAACTAATGGCAATTTTAAGATCGGCTCTGGGAAATAGGTTTGTTTGCCTGAAGAGGACCATGTGCATTTGTTGTTCGGTATAGAGAACAATCATTTGCTGCTTTAGGGCTGTGACTCACTGAGAACATTATTGGGTGCTTTGTAGGTATGGAATTGGAATCTGGTTTCCATTAAATCGGTAATGACGTGCGTTTAGTCTTTGAATTCTCATGCTCTGGAAGAGTTAACCCAAAGCCCTGTGAAGTAAATACAAAGACCCTAGTGGCTTCTCGGGACTTTGTGTCAAGCTGTTGAGCTGGGGAGCCTATATGCTTTTCTACTGACAGTCCTCCATGAGACGGTGCATGAGGGCTTGTTTCCTGTCTTGGTTCCACAATCATTCTGCATTGTTTTGTTGTTGTTGTTAAAAAACACCTCACCAAGCAACCCCCAGAGAATGTGTTCTCTGGTTATGTCCATTTTTACACTGACCAGTGAGGTTTCATAAGGCAAGAAGAATAGAGTTTCATCCAGTTCTAGTGTCGATGATGGCTGCTGAAGAGTACATTGGAGAAAAACTTGAGAAAAATTTGGTACGGTAAGACAGATACTTACCTGGAAAACTTTTAGAATGACAGGAGATTTACACCACGTTGTATGCTGGGTCTTGGACCTCTCTTGAATAGACCTGTTGCAAGCCCATCAGTATTCAAGAAAATTTTCATTTCTTTGATAGTTTGCTTTAATTGCCTTTCTGCAGTTCATTCTAATTTCAGGTTAATTGTATACAATTTGATGACAATATGGTGTGTCTACCAAATACAAATTCTCCAAAGTCTTCAAGCAGCATTTTATCTTAATGAAAATGCCATTTGGAAGGGAGAAATGTGGTTTAAAAGCAGAGGTCAATTTTGGTAGTTAATGAGTTGGTGTAAACGAACAGAAATGTCTTGCTAAGGGATGACTTTTTTAATAGCAAAACATGGTTTTTCTCAGTCAGGTCTTGCAGTGACTTAGGAAGGTAGGGTAAGATCTTTTTCTTATGGCAGTTTCTGAGGTGTACTTTGGCACGGCTTCATGAATCTGGCCCATTTCTGTTACAGATGAGAAGTGCCCCTTTTCTTATAGCCAAGTATCTTGTTGGCCAGAGATGTGAATATAGGGACGGGGGGATGGAAGCAGCAGAGTAAGCAGAATGAAAGCTCAGGTGAGTGTTTCAAATAATCCATGGGGACTGAGTAATTATGTATGACTCTTAATGAGATGAAGATGTTGTAACAGGATTTTTCTGAAGCAAGAAGAAAGCTGATGTTCAACAGACTATGAAAATGTAATGTGGAACTGTAGTCCAGTGCTAGCTTTGTTAAAAACCTACAGTGCCAAGTTGAAAACATTTAAGGCTTAATCACATGTCGAGGGAAAATAGCATCGACTGAAAGGGTGGTGATTTCCAATTTATCCGTGGGAAATGACATTGTTGCATGCTTTCTTCTCTTAAAGGGGGGGGGAAAAATCCCTTTTATTCTGCATGGTTCTTCATCCTGTGCTGCTCATTTGACGTTGGCCAGGAAGCAGATAGGATTTGGACACTCACTCAGCCTCGACATAGGGACAACTGTTTTTTAATTGCCCAAATGGAGGGGAAAAGTTTGTATCCCATTAGCAATCCTCAAAGACTAAAGCACCATAAAGTGTAATCACTTAATGTGTGCCTATACTATTAAGCACATTTGAATGAATGCTAATGAATGACTTATAAAATGTAACCAATTATGAAAGTCTTGGGGCATATCTAAATAGCGTTTGTTTTAAATTTCAGAAACAAACATCAAATAAACAATGAAAATAGATTTGTATGGTTAGTCTTTTTTCCTCTTGGATGGAAAGTAATTTCCTCTTTTGAACAGAATCTTGTACCATAAGCAGCATATTCAGTGAATGGCAATGATATTTAATTGGTAAACTTGTGCAGGAAGTTTTTTTTTTTTAAGTGAAAAATTCTTTTGTAAGAACATTTGGTCTAATGCCCTTTTTTCTTTCTAGCTGAAACCGTGACTTCTGTTAGCAGGAATGCTAGCATCAGAATACAGTTTTTTCTCAAAGAGAACCTTTGGCAAATGATTGAGCTGTGACAGGGAGATTTTTCAAATGCCAAATGGGAATTAGGTGCACAGTTCTCACTGACTTTCAGCATCTAACTGCCGTTTGTTCTTTTGTTAATCTCTATTTTTGATCCGAAGTAATTGGCTTCTGCCTGTGTATCTTTATCTCCTTCTGTGAGGCATGTGTGAGGAGGAATGTGTTGTAGGGAGATTCGGACTGTTCATCAAAAAGAGCATCATCTGTGTGCTGGCAGTTAGTTGAATGTGACAGCATGCTGAATGTGGATTGCAGACCTGCAGAGTGGGAGAGGATGAGAGCAGGATTCACCTTCTGGTGACCTTATTATGCCAGCAACCAAAATGAGTTGCTCAAATATGTAATAACCAGGTAGTGGCTGGATTCGATGGATTCACTGCAAGCTACGTATTGACTTCCAAGGCATGGCTGCTCTGGCCGATAACCTCAGACACTGTCCCGCTCTTGGTATCTGCAGGCTTCTTGACTTAGATCTGAGATAAGAGGTCTCGATTTTGTTGCTCTTTCAAAACTTAAAGCAGCTCTTTGCTGCTTCAGAATGGAGGGAAAAAACCCAACTCCCCACCCAAAAAAACCCCCCCAAACCAAACCCTGCAAAGATCTCTTAAGAGCCTTTGAGTTTGAATGTGGGAATGCTAGTGCAGTTACTTGAAGTAAGGATCTTCTTGTATTAAAGTTTCAAAAAGACAAAAGTGTGTGTTAAAGCCTTTTTAACGCATTTGTTACAAAACTCCAGTGTCATGCTAAGCAAATTGCCTAAACCAAGCTTTCTATAGGTTGCTAATTCTACCTGGATTGTCATGATATCTTAGTTTGATTTGCAAAACTCTGATCATTAACAGGTATCAGAAATATGGCTGGGAGCTGAGCTAGACTGTGCAATAGATCATATGATCTATATGAGGATCCATGTCTGGGCTGATTTTACTGGTTTTGAAACGGGTAATCAATGTTTTGTATGTACGCCATCCCATGTGTACAATGGGTGCAATGAGTGAAACCTTCTTCTAGCATTTAGATGCTTAACAAAATTAACACCATAGAAAAAATCCTCGTAGGAAGTGAACATTTGTGTTTGAAGGTAAAACTGTGAAAAATAAGAGGTAGGCATAGACGTGATTTTTCTTGTTATTCAGTCTGCTTATTGAGTTCCATTTTTTTTTTCAGTGCATTGGATGGCATGGGAGGAAGGCTTATGGGGGGAAGTAGAATCATATAATTAACAATTGTATTACAATGCAAACAAGGCTGAACCAATTCTGGTTAGGCAACTTGTGCTGTGTAACTAACTTTTTATTGTAGGGGTGTTTGTGGAGGTGTGTGCAATTCTATTGCAAAGCAAATAACAGTGGGTAGTTTATAAACATTAATTAAGCCATGTGGGTTGTTTATAAGTGAATATTGTTCAATAGCTAGGAATCAATTACACATTATTTTTTTTCAAAGGGCATTCAGTGACATAAGATAAGTCAGGACACGGAGAAACTCCCTCGGTTCTTGACTCATAGCCATAACTACAACACAATAGTTCTAAGTAGTAACTAAGTAGTCTTCTGTTGTTTTGAGCGAGGAACATTGCATTAGGTTTCCCTGTAATTTCTAGGTAATGGGTTTTGAGCACTGTATTATATAGTTTTATGTAATATAATTGTACAATCAATTTAATAAAATATATTAAAATATAGACATTAAATGATACAAGTTACACAATAATTGGTATAACTTTAAATTTTATATAATTTTATAGCACTTGTATAAGCTCAAAATACTTTGTTTTAAAATGGCAATTTCAACTTCATAACATCATTGCTGATAAAGAACAGGATGGGGTGCCCATAGCCCTATAGGAATACCACAGTACATTAAGTGAACCCGTTTGCCAACTGGCTGGTTCTGTCACGAGGGATTCTTACTTCTGTCAAGCAGAATTAAAGACTATGGGAGGTATTTACATGTGGAAAAAAAAACCACCCCAAAAAATAGT